CCGTGAGAACACGACCCGAGCTGAAATCACGAGTTAGACGCTTAACAGACTGAGCCACCCAGGTGCCCCTACACTTTTGCTATAAAGGGCCAGACAGTAGATATTTCAGACTTGCACGTAGGTCATGATCACACGGTCCCTGTTGCAACTAGTTACTTGCCACTGTTTTGCAGAAGCAGCCGTGGACAATACGTAAATGAATGAGTGGACGTGGCTGTGTTCCTGTAAAACCTTATTTACAAAACCAGGCAGTGGATGGGTTGGGACATAGGTTGTAGTTTGCCAGCACCTCACCTACAGAAATCAAAGCCCTGACTATCATCATTTGCTTGTAAAAATAAGCGAGTACTTCTTTCCTCTAATGCTATACTGCATCACCGGCTTTAGGTATCTGGGGTGGTGACTGCTATCTTTAGATGATTTAATTTCTTGCTTATTTGCATGTGCTCACACGCACGTGGTCCGTTTCCCGCAGTGAGAAGGTTGAGTTCCGCAGCGTCTCGTTCATGAGACACATCGGGTGTCCTGTTTGTTGGTGAGCCCTCCTCAGCTCTCAGGCCTGTGCAAACCCACAATTCTCCCTGAAGCGGGGCTAACCAAACGTCTGACATGTGAGCCCTGTTGATCCTCTCTTTCTCCAGCTACTTACTGAGCCCCTGTTACGCATCGGGCACCGTCCTGTACCCTGGGGATACTTCAGTGCACACAGCTCAAAAACCATGCCCTTGAGGGGTCTCCATTCTAGCAGAAAGGAGTGGAAGGCAATGAACAGTAGGTATGGGCCATAAGACAATGTTACCGAGTGTTAGAAAGTTACCAGTGCTCTGGAAAAAGTGGAAAGTAGGGGCGCCTGGGTGGCCCAGGCGGTTAAGCGTCTTGACTCTTGGTTTCGGCTCAGGTCCTGATCTCACGGTTCATGGGATCGAGCCCCGCATCAGGCTCTGTGCTGACAGTGTGGAGCCTGCTTGGGATTCTGTCTCTCCCTCTATCTCTGCCCCTTCCCTACTCTCTCTCTCTCTCAAAAAAAGCAAATAAGCATTAAAAATAAAGAAAGAAAAAGGGTGAACTACAGCAGAAGGACGAGGCAGGCGTTGCTGAGCAGGTGACCTCTGAGCAAAGACTTGAAGGAGGTGGGGTGGGGGGGATGGCCATGCAGATCAAGGGGAAGGATATATAGGGGATCCCCATATGGAAGGTGAGCCCAGGGTGAGGGCGAGCCTGGTGTATACAAGAAACAGCAGGGAGGCGGGTATGGTTAGGGCAGAGAGGATGGAGAAGCGGGAAAGAGGTGATGTCAGAGAGGTTGGGGTTTACGATCACACAGGGCTTTGTTAAGACATCTATCGTTAAGGATTCTGGATGCTCCTTATAGGGAGTTGTTGGAATAGGGAGTACAATAGGGAGTTGTTGGAATTCTGAACAGAGCGCCATGATCTAGCTGCTGTGTGGAAAACAGAGAGAGGATATGGGATAAGAAGGGAATAAGAGAGGGGCGCCTGGGTGGCTCCGTCGATTGGGTGTCTGACTTCGGCTCAGGCCATGATCTCAGGGTGTGTGGGTTTGAGCCCCGCGTCGGGCTCCGTGCTGACGGCTCAGAGCCTGGAGCCTGCTTCCGATTCTGTGTCTCCCTCTCTCTCTCTCTCTGCGCCTCCCCCGCTCAATCTCTGTCTCTGTCTCTCTCAAAAATAAATAAACATTAAAAAAAATTTTTTTTTAAAAAGAAGGGAATAAGAGAAACCAGTTAGAAGCCCCATAATAACCCAGGTGAGAGGTGCTGGGGCCTGGACCGCCACGGCCGCAGCGGAGGTCAAGAGGAGGAGTCAGACCCTGGGTAAATTTGCAAGTACGGTCCTGATGGCTTAGATGAGGGATGGGGGGGGGGGTCACGCGAGAGAAAGAGGGGGAACCAACGACATCCGGGGCTCCTGATCCAAAAAGCAAGGAGGCAGCTGCCCTCAAGTGAGCGGGGAAAAGCTGGGCCGTGCGGCCGCAGATTCTGAGCGGACAGATTCAGTTCCGGGCACGTCGCATTTCAGACGTCCCCCTGGAGACGCTGCGTAATCTGTGTCGGAGTCCGGGACAGAGGTCTAGCTTGGAGATGCGTATCTGCGAGCCACGGCTACACAGACCATACTTAAAGGCAGAAGAGATCACAAGGGGATACAGGAGACGGGGACTGGGCACGGGGGCACGCCGGATGAAGAGAAGGAGGCAAAGGAGAACCCGGTAAAGGGGGGGTGCGAAGGAGCTCCAGTGAGGTGGAAAGAAGGAAGCCAGAAGACTGGAATTCGAGAGGCCGAGCAAGGAGGAGGGAGCATCTGCCCGGTCAAAGCCGCCGATGGGTCAGGGGCGCTGCAGACCGGGGACAGGAGGTTGGGTTGAACAACATGGAAGTGACTGGAGCCCTCGAAGAGCAGTTCTGGCTGAGCCGTGCGGGGTGAGTTGAAAGCACTGACAGGAGGGGCGCCTGGGTGGCCCAGTGGGTTGAGCATCCGACCTGGATGTCGGCTCAGGTCACGGTCCCGCGGTTCATACGATCGAGCCCCCCCAAGCCGGGCTCTGCGCATGGAGCCTGCTTGGGATTCTCTCTCCCTCTGCCCCTCCCGTGCTCACTCTCTCTCTCTCTCTCTCTCAAAATAAATAGAGAAACATTTAAAAAGTAATCAAGTAGGGACAGGAGAGGGACCGGAGACAGCAAGTAAGAACACTTTCGAGAAGTCTGCCTATGAAGGGGAGCAAGGAAACCGGCAGGTGTTGGGGAACACGGTGCACAAGACGGGGGGGCCTGGGTTTAGACAGGAGCATCTCTGGGGAGGGGGGGGGCACAGTGATGTGGGGACAGACACCGAGAGATAGAACGTCTTCTTCGGACTGCTTCAATGTTCTCGGTGACGTTAGGAAACCCACGGGAAGGATGGGGACGGAGGTGCTGGGTTTGCAGAAAGGGGAGAAGCCGAATCACTTCGGTGAGTGGGGAGGCACATCGACAAAGCGCAGGGAGCGTCTTACGTATCTGCACTGAGGACCCGCTGAGATTTGCATTCTTTCCCAAGAGCCTCCCGGTTTGTTGCTGGCATCCTCAATCCCTCACCTCGGGTGCTGAGAAAGGCCAAGAAGGCAGGTGCAACACAGAGGGGGAGCTAAGAAAGCCCTTTGCTTTCGTGACGCACAGAACGGAGCAGATGCCTGCTAGGCGCTGACTTAACGGCACCGAATAACAACACTCCCAAACGAAACGAGATTGTGGCAAAGGCACCAGGAAAGACCAGGGCAAGCTAGCAGAAAGATGGCAAATACAGATAAATCCACAAGGTGAGACTGCATTTGGGGCTAAGGCTGTCATGCAACCCATTTTCCCAGGCAAGACGTTTTACGACCAGCGGTGCGATACTGAAATAATCACCATGAAGCAGCCCCGTCCCTATTCCGACATTCAGTTCTTGAGGTCCTAAATGAGGCTGCTTTTACACGCAAGGAACCAGAAGTTGACCTGGGTGCAGCAAGCCATAACCATTGTTTCGCTGGCCAACACGGTTTATGTTTTACTTGCTGAGTGGAAACAAGACTAGTCAGCCCATAAAGATATTCCATGTGTGTGCTTATTTATGAACAACAACAACACCAGCCCTAGAAGGATCCGCCTTCTCTCAGTGACCCGTGACCTACCCCTCCTGCAGATGCTCTTTTTAAACACTTGTTTCTAATGTTTATTTACTTTTGAGAGAAACACAGACAGAGCGTGAGCAGGGGAGGGGCAGAGACAGAGGGAGACACAGCATCCGAAGCAGGCTCCAGGCTCCGAGCTGTCAGCACAGAGCCCGACGTGGGGCTCGAACCTACGAACCGCGAGATCGTGACCTGAGCCGACGTCCGGACGCTTAACCGACTGAGCCACCCGGGGGCCCTGTGATCCAAGCACTTTTCAAATGCGGCTCCCCGGGACTCTCACACGCTGCTGGATGGATCGTGGATCAGGAGAAGCATTTGGAAGACTGTGTTTGTAAAGCTACACATACAGGGTGCCTATGACCCCGCAATCCCACTCCTGGGTGGAGACAGACTCTGTACCCCCAAACAGGGGCCTGGCAGCAGAGGAACGGATAAAGGGCGGTACACTCACATACCCGAATACGATCCACCGATGAAAAGAAAGAAGCTTCCACCACATGCGGCCGCATGAACGAATCTTACAAACGTCAGGTAGAACAAAAGAAGCCAAAATCAAGCAGTGCCCAGTAAACGAATCCATTCACAGGAGGTTCAAAAACAGGCAAGACTGTCCACGTGGTTGGAAATCAGGAGAGCGGACAAGGGTGGACGAGTGTGGGAGGAGGGCGGTGCACCAGAAGGGGCTGGAGTTGCCTGTTCCTCCACCTGGCTGCCGGTTACCAGGGGGGTGGTTCACTCTGTGGATTCCTGGGGCTGCACACCTGGGACTTGTGCATTTCTCTGTGTATATGTTACACTTCAATGAGAGGCATCCTGAAAAGGGGCGCCTGGGTGGCGGCTCAGTCGGTTAAGCATCGACTCTTGATTTCAGCTCAGGTCACGATCTTAAAGGCTCTCTTGTTCAAGCCTTTATTGGGCTCCGTGCTGACAGTGTGGAGTCTGCTTGGGATGCTCTGTTTTTCCCTCTCTTTCTGCCCCTCCCCCACTCCTGCACACGTACACGGGCGTATACTCTCTCTCTCTCTCTCTCTCTCTCTCTTAAAATAGATAGATAGATAGATAGATAGATAAAGCCATTTTCTACAAAAATAAGAGGCTCCAATATTTTATAAACACAGAGCCTGAAGGCAATAACTTAGCTTTTATTTTTACTGTTCTATGAAAATGAATTTTCCACATTAAAAGCAATGGTTTCCATTGAAACAGTACCTTACGTAAGAGGGGGAAAAGAAATATTTAAAGGACTGTACATCTGTCGTATAAGTGAGAATATAAATTATCGTTACATCCATCTTGCAGTTAACAAACAACCTTTGTCAATATCAACTTACCTGAGTTGTTTTGCATAGCTGAGTTCGATCTCTGTCCTTTCCTTTACAAATTTGATGTATTTCTCAAGAATGTCAATTCCCCACTGTGTGTGTTTTTCTAAGTTGTCAAATTGATCCTGTTTAAAAAAAAAAAAAAACACAAAGAGAGAGCTTATAATCCTTCTCTGTGATTAATAGAATTTCAGCGAACAATGCTCTCAACGAGACGTCGCTATGTAGAAAGCAGTTCTAATATTTTCCATGATTGTCCTGGGTGCTTTTCTTGTTGAGCAGTTTTAAATCAACATTACCAAATTTGGTTTGAAAACTGCCTGGGGGACTGAACTCTGACCCTCGCGTTCCTGTTCCCGTTAGCAACATGGTTTGAGGATCCAGCTAATGTCCTAGTGCAAAGGAGAATGTCCTCTCCAGATTCCAAAAGCCGAGAGGTAAAACACCCGCCTCAACTCGGTGGGCAGCTAGCACCTTCCTTGTCATCTCTCAGTTATTCAAAGCAGCTCACTGAAATTCGGGGCAAAGCACAGGGGAGTGAGAAGAGCTCCCAAGTACCTCTCTCTTCAAACAGATACATAAAATGACTCACGCGGACTTTACTGAGACGTTCAAACATTTATCAAACCCACACTGTGTGCCAGGAAAGGAGCTGGGGAAACCACCCCCCCCACGCCCCCGCCCCGGGCCCCATCTTGCAAGGTGCTTGAGGTTCCCAGCCTGGAACCACGAGGGGCGCTGGGTATCCCAGCAACCCCTACTGCAAAGGCCCGGACACGTCCAGGAATCAGGGGGCCTTGTCCTCTGCAGCGAGGGTGGGGGCAGGGCGCCAGGGAAGGATGTTGGTGGCTGAGAAACAGGAGAAAGTCGGGGGCCCCTGGGTGGCTCAGTTTAAGCAGCTAACTCTTGATTTCCGCTCAGGTCACCATCTCACGGTTTGTGAGTTCGAGCCCCGAGTCGGGCTCTGGACTGACACCGCGGAGCCTGCTTGGGACTTTCTCTCTCTCCTCTTCTTTGCCCCTCCCCTGCCTGTGTTCTCTCTCTGTCTCTTTCTCAAAATAAACAAACATTAAACTTTTTTTTTTTTTTTTTTTTAAAGAAAGCAACGGGAGAAAGTCTCAGCCCATCGGCCCAGGAGAAGGAGCCTTTTAGCCTCTCGAGCGGGCACACGTGAGCCGCTGGAACTTGCGAGGGGAGAGGCATGCCCACGGACATGTTCGGAATCGTCAGGTGGTGGAAGGTCAGGAGACGGTTCAGTTGTCCAGAGGAGAGAAAACGGAAGAGGACGGAAGGTCGTACAGACCCGTGACAACTAGGATCAACTAGTTTTGGTGGCCGATTGCGTAAGGAGGCTGGAGAGGGATATGGACGGGAGGCAGGATTCCGGAGGGCTCCCTGCCTCTACCTCCTGGGACCGAAGGACAGCACTTTGGGCTGAAGTGACACATCGGGGGAGGGAGTGGCATGTCCAGAAGGGGGCTAGAAACACGGATCCATTCGGAGCTTGCGGAGGGAGGCCCTCGAGCTGGTGGATCTGAACCAACAGGGCCTGGCCCGGGTGGGTGGGGGGGGAGGCAGAAAGTTCTGGGAAAGAAAAGGGAGTGTCAGCGCAACATTGTGGGGAAGAGAGAACGGCCACAAGAGAGGCAGATGCCAAGTCTCCTGAGAAGAAGCCGGAACAGAGAAGGTGGGTTCTGGCCCCAGCCGGGGACTTCACCGACGCGGGACCCCAAACGTGGCCGAGCGTGGTCATCTGCCTGAAGGTGAAGAGCCAGTCCCTGCCTAACTTCACAATTCAGTCTTTAGGATCGTGTAAAATGGAAAAGTGTCAAATCAAATATAAAAATACAAAGCCACAATTTGGGGCGCCTGGGAGGCTCAGCGGGCTAAGCGTCTGACTTCGGCTCAGGTCATGATCTCATGGTTCGTGGGTTTGAGCCCCGCGTCGGGCTCTGACAGCTCGGAGCCTGGAGCCTGCTTCCGATTCTGGGTCTCCCTCTCTCTCTCCGCCCCTCCCCTGCTCTCTCTCTCTCTCAAAATAAATAAATAAATAAACAAACATTAAAATTAAAAAAAAACAGGAAAATAAGAAAACCAACAACAACAACTGTATTTGCTTAAAGGAAATTATTTAAAAACCATGATGGAAATAAAAGGAGATAGGAATCAACGAAACATCATACCCTGCTCCTGCTGGCTGAAAAGATTTGATATGCAGAATTGACTCAATATTAACCGAAGTCCCTGAAGGATGGCATACAAAAGTTGGTAAATTTTTTTTAGAAGTTGGTCTAAGTTGATTTAAGCATTAACTGAGAAGAATAAAAAGGAATGGGAATATTGTAAAAACCATGAATTTGTATACTCGTAAGTGGATGAACTGTTTGGTATGTTAATCATAGCTCCATAAAGCTGTCAAAAAAATAATAAAATTTTTTAAGTTAAAAAAAGAAAAAATAAATAAATAAATAAACTTTTGAGAATATAAAAATACAAAGCCACAATTTAATCCTAGCACATGCGTGTGCAATCCGACAGGACCGACTCAGCACCGCCCTTCAGGTTGATTTTAAAACCTAGCATTTCCTGGGGCGCCTGGGTGGCGCAGTCGGTTAAGCGTCCGACTTCAGCCAGGTCACGATCTCGCGGTCCGGGAGTTCGAGCCCCGCGTCAGGCTCTGGGCTGATGGCTCGGGGCCTGGAGCCTGTTTCCGATTCTGTGTCTCCCTCTCTCTCTGCCCCTCCCCCGTTCATGCTCTGTCTCTCTCTGTCCCAAAAATAAATAAACATTGAAAAAAAAATAAAATAAAAAATAAAACCTAGCATTTCCCACTTTTAAACGTGACCTCACGCTTTCATTCTGTTTTCCGTTCAAGGCTGCGCAAACCGGAAAGTGAGTCGACTTCGTTCCCTCCAAGTCCGCCTTGGGTGGACGCAGGCAGGCAACGGGGTCTAAAGCACTTTTTCTCCAATGTCAGAAAATCTCTCCTTGAAGAAAACTCGTTTCCTCAACCTTGATCTGTGCCCCCCACCCCCCTCCCCACCTCCAGGCCCACGGAACACTTGGAAAAATTCAGGTTTTATTTTACAGGAATGTTTTCCTCATGGAAAATCACTGTAAGATGTTTGTCTTTCAACCTAATAAGTGTTCACCTGGTCATAAAAAGCAAGGGACAAATATTTAAGGCTTTGGTTGATTCTTGGTCCCCAATAATACATTCCATGGACATCCAGTCTCCACTTAAGGAACACTAGTCAGGAAGATTATTTATTTGTGTTATCTGGAAAGACAGGGGTTGTCAAGCAAATTAGGCGGGTAAATAAGGCTGTAGGTCACTTTCAACTACTTGAGGGAACAAATACACAAATAATTCGAGTAAAGATTACAAATCATCCCTAGCTATTTCGACCAAGGCTCGTTAAAGCTCTCTGCTAATTGGTAACCCTTTGCTAATCTAGTTTCATAGCGACCCTATTTATTTAAAAACTCCTTTCCAGGGGCGACTGGGTGGCTCAGTTGGTAGAGGGTGTGACTCTGGATCTCGGGGTCATGAGTTCGAGCCCCACACCGGGTGTAGAGCTTACTTAAGAAACTAAAGTGAAATAAAATGTTGTTGCAAATCAAATGTTTAAAAATAATAAAACATCTCTAGGGGCGCCTGGGTGGCGCAGTCGGTTAAGCATCCGACTTCAGCCAGGTCACGATCTCGCGGTCCGTGAGTTCGAGCCCCGCGTCGGGCTCTGGGCTGATGGCTCAGAGCCTGGAGCCTGTTTCCGATTCTGTGTCTCCCTCTCTGTCTGCCCCTCCCCCGTTCATGCTGTCTCTCTCTGTCCCAAAAATAAATAAACGTTGAAAAAAAAATTAAAAAAAAATAAATAAATAAAACATCTCTAATGATGCCACACTCTACCGTTCCCATCACACGGATCACCGCAGCATGAACTTTTTTTTTTTGACAGCAGCTAAAAGAAAATTCAAAACAGATGAAAAACTAATCAACCCACTTACATTCTTGACCAAAATGTGGAAAACTTAATGGAAAAGAATTCCAAATCTTCAAAAGACTCCTTTGTGAGCAAATATTATAAATGGCCCTTTAAAAAAATAGCTTTGGCTGCTTGGAAGATGGTGCCATTATCAAAAATTCCTCCTTTCCCGTTTTCATTTATGCGGGTTATGGCTATCAATATTTACTCTAGCGGAAATTAGAAACTGAGAGAGTTTGGGGCGCCTGGGTGGCGCAGTCGGTTAAGCGCCGACTTCAGCCAGGTCATGATCTCGCGGATCTCGCGGTCCGTGAGTTCGAGCCCCGCGTCGGGCTCTGGGCTGATGGCTCAGAGCCTGGAGCCTGTTTCCAATTCTGTGTCTCCCTCTCTCTCTGCCCCTCCCCTGTTCATGCTCTGTCTCTCTCTATCCCAAAAATAAATAAACGTTGAAAAAAAAATTAAAAAAAAAAAAAAGAAAAGAAACTGAGAGAGTTTAAATCGTATTTATTGATCCATCCAGAAGACAACACTAAATCCATCACATGCTAAAATATTTTTATTTTTGAGACAGAGAGAGACACAGCATGAGCAGGGGAGGGGGCAGAGAGAGGGAGACACAGAATCCGAAGCGGGCTCCAGGCTCCGAGCTGTCAGCACAGAGCCCGACGCGGGGCTCGAACTCAAGAGACTGTGAGATCGTGACCTGAGCGGAAGTCGGACGCTTCACCGACGGAGCCACCCAGGCGCCCCTCACGTGCTCAAATAAATAGCATTGTTTCCTTTCAAGAATTTTCCTTTCCAAAACAAGACAGAAAAGTGGGAAGACTGGCGTTGGTTTACATTTTTGCAAACCTCTTTTATGTCTGGCTTAATGGAATGCAACTGGGTTTTCGGATGCCTCTGTTGGGATTCCCTACTTTGGTTGCATTATACAAAAAAACAAGACTTCACCCAGATATGCAGTAAGAAGGTGGAGGAGCATTTCAAAAGCCTTTTTAGAGAATCCTGGATACTCTTTGGTACCACACCCAAGTTCAACAAATAGTAGCTTCTTCAAGGCTAGCTTCAATGTGAAATCTGAAACCACACCAGTGAATTTTTCATATCGGGTTACAATAAAATGCACTTTGAATGGCTCT